ATCTGCCAAAATGCATGAGGCTAGATGTTCTTAAGGCTGCTTACAAAGAGACTGTGACGAAAGTCAACCATATTATCCATTAATCGATAATTGATCATTGGAAATAACAATGAAATTGTACCATACAAAGTACAATCCGTTATACATAAAATATAGAGTAATATTCTTGTACATATTGATTATTCTGAATTCATTAATACTAGATAAATGTAAATATCACAAAATTATATTTAATAATGTAGTAAGTATTACATCAATGACTTTGAGTATGATACTTAAGGGATTCTCATATATATATTTATACATTCACTTTTATCAATCAGAACGATTTTAAAGTTGTCATTATTGTATTTGTTCCTTACATATTTCTACTCTTTTTTAGAAAGTGATATGTTGTTGTATAAAATAACTCTGTGTTGTCACAATTATTAAAATAAACACTATATTTGATAAAAATACTATATGTTTCATTATCACAAATATTAAGTTTTGGTTCTATAATAATCGGCTTCTGTCCAGTCAAAGCACACATCGCTAAACTATATGTACTTCGTGTTGTCATAACACAGCGTTTTCCATGTCCTAAAATGTATAACTCAGCAACAGCACTGAATGTAGCATACGAGACTAAACTGTTCTGCATCATTTGTGTATCTGCTGGAATTGTCTGGTTCTTGGAATAGATCAACGAGTATTGTGTTAAGTTCCTTGCCAGCCTCATTTTCATTTTCACAGAATCGGATGCCACATAGAGTTTTTTAGGTTTCGGTAATTGTTTGATGCATCGGAGTATCAATGGAAATGATTTCAGTGGCAAGAACTCAACAAACACAGGAACATCAGCCAAATCCCCTCCAAATCTAAGGTGAACAGCATTGTACTCCTCTTTGTCGTAGTTTGGATATAAATAATGCATATATTCTATCAAACTTGCGGATGGGATCATAATATTCCTCAGAAACTCACCATACAATTTGTACGAAAGAGCATCAATTGTTGAGTTGTGATGATGACTTCTGAATCCCAATTTTGTTAGCGTATTGTTGTAGTATGAAGTCATAGCAATTACATTGATAGTAAGCAAGTTGCCACTGACTGCCGTAATTTGGGTAGGAAATATGGAAGAAATCGTGTTGTTCAATATGGCACTCGTAAAGTTTGCACGATCAGCGCTGGATTGTTTGGAATGAAATGTCAAATAATAAAAAAAGCGTAATACGCTAGTTGATGAGCATCTACAATTATTATAATAACATGCAATAATCTCGAACCATCATCACAAATATAAATGATTTGGTTTGGAAATGATTGTTTGATATTCCACACTTGGTGCCAACCTGCTGATAATGGAACTAGTCATTTATGTATATAAAGAATGAACTTACTAACGATTGGTATTCGATAGTGATATGATAGGACATACAATCCGCTGATGATTTGAAGCCTGTTTCCGACTCCTTTTAAGTTTGGCAAATAGAAGATTCTTGTACCATTATGCAAACTAAATAAAAAAACTCTCATTCAAACTACAGATTAAAAACATGGGTAGACTGGATTTCATTCTTTGATGGTAAATTCGTTCGATTATTGACGACCTTATAACTACACAAATCATCGAAACATTTCATATTTACCCAAGCTTAAGAACGGGGTCAATTTCTGGCAAAATGGTTGATATTTCGTATTTCTTTTGGTAGAATTTAATACTTCTCCTTGTTAGAAGTTTATATGCATTCTGTGAAAGGGAAGTGCTTGTGTCATTTTGAATCGAACTATCAATCAATTACCCAAATTCAATTAGTACTCTTCCATGTTTAGTCTCACATGAGGAAATGTAAACACAGAATTATCCCTTCGGCCTCTACATGTAGTAGTTTTGTGATAACCAATTTACAGTAAATGATGATACCGATAGTGTATAGATGAATCAAATAAAAGATTACTACATAAGAAAAACACACAATTCCTACATTGCCAAGAAGTATAACAGTAACGGTATATAATGTATCCTGTATAACATTAATAACTCAAGAAAGACAATATAGATGTAAATATATGGAACAGACAAGGAAATAGTGTTTATATCTCAGATTCAACTTTTACTTATTTTATATTTTTCCACATGTATATTTACAGTATTTTGTATATTATTGATCATAATAATCAGAAGGTGATAAAACCCTTTTCACTTTTTTCCTATTGATATGACCATTTGTTGAAGTATCAAACATTTGTATAGAACAAACTACACTATCTCATCTATCAATGGCGTTTTGATTTTATGATATCGTATGTTGGCCTAAAGAGACGTGCTAGTTTTTGCATTTGAAGAGTTTTGTCATAGTTTGATTTTTTTTGTGACATATATTCCTTTGACATCTTTGTGCGCTTATGCGGGATCTCTATACAAAACTCGTTCAGCATGACGTAATAGTGGAATTCTAAGCATCAATTCAATCAAATACATAGACGGAAAAGCCTGCCTACTCTAGGTCGTTGTCAGCTCGTGGTCTATT